TGAGATCGAGTAATTTATACCACTGAATTTTTAATTTATATTTAAGGGCGGTGAAGAGCACTGGTTCGGTTTTCAGCAAAAAATGCGGTGTAGTGGGATGAAAAGATAAAAGAAGGCCGTCATCTGCACATCAGGTCATGAGCAACGACTCTCGTGCTAAGCATCGTTTTATGAAATGCAAAAAAGCGATTTTTGCGTGATTTAGTTCAAGCAGATGACGCTCCGTCGTTGTTCTTCGTCCTAGAATCGCTGCTTCGTTTGTTCTGCATCCACACTGAACGATGTTGATAGTAATAGTAGTAGAATAGAAGGGAACGGCGATAGAAGCCCAGCCAAATATTAGGTATACCGAGCAGAGTTGACGAGAAGGTCAGAGGGGTTGACGAGAAATTCGGAGCTGTGAAGTGATATTTTGCGGTCGTGAGTAAGCCGAAGCTTATCTTGTGTTAATGTTCAGTGGGTTCTCACTAGCGCCCTTCCCAGCATTCGTTTAGCATCATTTAAAGTGCCATGCATTTTTTTCCAATGTTAAATCATAAATTAGCTTGTTTATTTTTCCATTACAAAAGTTGCTTAGCATTTTGGGAAGCCTTTATCTGAATATTCTGAAATTTGCAGTTTAACGGGCAACTATCAGCTGCGTGCTGTATCGGTGCACTCCGGCAATGCAAACGGTGGTCATTTCATCACTTATCGCCGTGGCATTGGCGCCGATAATGTATCAACATGGTATCGAACAAGCGATGCAGAGGTAACTTGTTTTTTCCGCTCCCAAAATTTTCACACTTTTGAATTGTATTCGAAAAAAGGAGTGAATATCGTACATATTTTAGTCGTTTTTGCTTAATTCTAATGTTTTTGCTCTTAAGTTGGGGTTAGGATCATTGGTCAAAACTGCGCAGGATCGGAAACATAATTTTAGGTCATTCTATATTATATGTGCTATTGCTGTTTATTAAGGATGTTTTGTGTGTTGTTATTATATATGTAATATCATGCGGTATAGAATGACCTAAAAAATAGAAAAAAATGCGGTAAATTGAAGCTTTAAATTTCTTTATGTCTCTTCGTTCTTGGAAACAGTTAGCCTGATTTTAGAAGACGTTTACTTTGTTACTTTGATCAGTTATTTTTTTAAAATCAGTTCATTTCTCGTCATTGTTTCAATTGGCAGCTTCTCCATTCTTCTCTGTTTTGAGCCTTCTTCAGTTACACATCTGATAGAGGCGAATTTAGAAGACGTTTATTTCGTTATTTGATCAGTTATTGTTTTAAAATCAGTTCATTTCTCCTCATTGTTTCAGTTGGCAGCTTCTCCATTCTTCTCTGTTTTGAGCCTTCTTTACTTACACATCTGATGGAGGCGTATTTTCATATCCCCAGGAAAAAAGTTCTCGCCAAGGCAGGAGGCTTGCTACGAAACAGC